CAAGGAAGCAATCTAGTTAGTTAGTTGGTTAGTTGGTTAGTTGGTTAGTTGGTTAGTTGGTTAGTTAGTTAGTTAGTTAGTTAGTTAGTTAGTTAGTTAGTTAGTTAGTTAGTTCAAGTAAATAAGTAGTCAACTATAATTAATAACCCTGGTCTGGAACAACATTACGTTGAGTAAATGATAGATTTTTTTATGCATGCATTAGCGATCCCCTAAGCATAACGTCCTCAACAAACAAGAACAACGGGAGCAATTATAAAACTGTTTTCCTGTATTACATCCGCTCTCAGTGGCGTTAGTACAGCGCAGTGTTGAAGACAGGACCATATGGCGGCACTGGGCAGCAGAACGCATATAAGTGGTGCATGAGTGGTTAGAAGCACCCCAGGGAAACCAAGCCACAACTTCATTAACGCAACATAGATCAGAGCTGTCAAGCGGGCAGCTCCACCGGCACACTGTCCAGCGTCGTCCGCACAGCTCCGCTCATAAACAGCCCTCAAAAACTCCCACAGAGTCTTTGGCTTTCTGAAGCCGCAGATAAATTACACATTTCTTCCCACTTTAATGGGTGACTTGGGTCGGCTTCTGCATTACGCAACCTGGCAGTGCCATGTGTGACCTGACGGATCTGCCTCATCCAGTTCTGGGCAGGCAGGCAGGCATTCGCTGCGGGATGAGGGTTTGTGAGAAGCCAACCGATGTGGGGTGGAAATGATTAACCACTGAATACACTCCGGGGTGAGCAACACGCTGAAATACAACACCAGCTGCGGTCACCATAGACATGCAGTCTAGACGATCATTGTTTCTGCAAACAAGAACTTTATAGAACTATATCAAGGCATATCAGGTCTAAATCCAAATATTTCATGCTGGATTAAAGTCATAAATTGGATAAGATGCTAGCAAGACCCATTGACAGACTTGTTTTGCTATAACATTTATAGTAACAAATAGTGTTTCTTTGATGATGCTGACTGGTAGTTGATGCAAACTACTTTACATTGCAAAAGAACACATTAGAATCACAAAAAATAAACCCCATTCAGTTCACTCCGAACTGAATTTATATTTTAAGGTTACCTTTCCTGCATTCCTTATTAAACAATACATTCTACCATCATCACAATATGGAAAAAGGAACTGGCCTCTTACCAACTGAATTGGGACTGGATATGGGAAAGTATCCAGGTGATGTCTAAGAATCCTGCCCATTATCTTATACACTATAAACTGATCCACAAGGCTTATGCAACTCCATATGTGCTACATCGCATTAAGCGGTTACCTACCCCTTTTTGTACATTGTGCAATTCAAAGTCTGTGGGGACATATATGCGTATGTTTTTTTGAATGTCCACTTATCAGTACATTTTGGTATTTCAATCTCAATATTGTGTGAGGTGTTTATTCCTAAATATCCCAGTATTTGTTTATTAAATGATGATTATGGTCTAAACTTAAACACTTTCCAACGCAGGATATTTCATACTGCACTAACTGCAGTCAAAAAGATTATTTTTAAAATATGGCATGAACCCGCATTACCAGCGGACAAATCGTGGTTAATTGAACTAAAAAATATTGCGCTGTTAGAACGTTCAACAGCAAGAATTAACAGAGCTAAACCCCAAACAATCAAAGCATGGTCTAATTTTATTGAGATAATTTCTCATATAACAACTAGATAAACTAAAGCATACTGAAAGATAAATAACATTAGACTACAAGTGTATAAAGGTCACATCTCACCCAAGAGTTTTTCTTTTTCTGTGTATTGTTATTTATTTGTTATTTTATTTATTTATTTGTGTATTTTTTAATGTATTTTTATTCAATGCAAACCCTGGCTTGTATATAGTTGTCGCTAGCCATGTATGCTGGCTTTGTTCTACTATAAAAAAATATTATTCACAAAAAAACAATATGTTCTGAAAAAATACCGGTTTATAACAATATTTTTTTTACATGGCACAGAAATATTACATTGATTGATTGATGATTGATTTATAGATTGATTGATTGGTTGTGTAAGAAGAAATTCTGACAAAAAGGATTTTCTTTATGACGACCCATCTAAAAACAATCGACAATCAATAATTAATTTTTGTAATTTTAACTACAAGGTTTACTTCCAATAACATAAACCTAAACATACCTTTGTACATAGAATAGCCAGGTGCATGGTAATCTTTAAGACAAGCTTGTCGCATCAGAAACAGCTCTCTTATGACGTCTGCTTGCGGGCATTTCATGTTCGATGTCTTTTTTGTACAAATAATTTAAACTCGTGCTTTTTTGTCACCCAAACTTCTATAATAAAGAGAACGATGAAATAACCTTCAAATGATTGTTTCTGTTCAGATGGTTAAAACTGATTGTTTTCGTTTTTGTTCCTGTTAAATGCCATTTGTTTCTGTTAAGGACGCTCTGATAATCACATTTAACCGGTACTTGATGATCTGGCAGATCTCATGACCAATTGCAAGTGTTTGCTCACGAGTTCACAAGCAAAAGACGCATGTGCGTATCTGGGTTATACATACAGCAGCTACAACACATGAGGTAAATGATGAGTGGGGGTGTGAGCGATCACTGCGCTCGCTTTACAGCAGAAAAAATATATACAGATCTGCATGACCTCTTTTTATACAGTTTATTGACGTGACCCGTGTGAGTAATGACTCTTTGTTGCAACAATTGTATATCTAGTGTTTTGAGCTGCTGTGACATGAGCAGACTGATCGCCTATATGTCTCATCCAACCTTATGACCTCTCTCAGAAGCTCCACAAGTATCCTGCATATTCCCACTGGCTCCGTGATGGCCGCAGATTAGTTAAAATATTGGAAATCATGGTCATGAGAGCAAATGAGCAAGACAACAGATCGCAAGAGGGACGGCGATGTTCTAAGCATTACATTTGTTAGGTTAAATTAATAGAGCAGTAAAGATATCTAGTGTAAATCTCCCTCTCATAGAGCTGCTGTGAAACTCTCCTGATCTGCTGCCAAAATTTGGAGATGAGCAAAATATTTGAATGGTCTTGCAACTATTTAGGCCTTTTAATATATAAGAACTGAAAGTTCTGTGTTTTTAACAATATTTCAAGTTCACTAAAACCTGGCTGGAAATATTAGATGAAAAAAAACTCAAAAGTTTTATTTTTCAACATGAATATTTGATAATATAACCTGTTGTAATAAACAGTAGTTTATAGGCCTATTTCCTTTTAGTAAGAAGTAATGAATTTATAGGTTTACATTTTACTTCTTATACTTCAAATATTCACTCCAAACTTTTTCTTGACTGAGACATGCTGAATTCTTCATTTATCATTTGCAATGAATTTCAAGTTGCATTGTTGGTAATTTTTCTTATAATTTTTTCTTTATCAGTTTAATCTATTATGTTCTGCAAAGCTGCTTCTTCACACCTAAATGGTTATAAGAAACGTGTATAAGGGATTTTATGCAGTATCCTTAATTTATTCTCTTAGGTAAGGAGAGATCTCCACAAAAGTATCATACTTAGAGGGAAAATGTGCTGAATGCAATATAAAGCTTGAAGCATCAGAATCGGTACTCGGTATCGGTCGATCACCATGACAAGGAATTAGTACTTACTATCGGCTGCATAAATCCTGATCAAAGCATCCCTAGTTTCTGTTTTTCGTTTTCGTTGCTTGAACCAGTTCAGATCTCTAGTTAGAGTACATCAGTATTGCATTAAATAAAAAAATGTATATTATTAAATAAAACAGCTAAATTATATTAAATGATAAGTTTCTATATTCTATCTCCCCTGAGTAACTTATTTTAATGCAAAGCATACAGCTCTGGAACTTTCTGGAATCACAAAATGTACTATGATGAATTCATTTAGCATGCAGTTGTGGTTTCTAATCCTGGGCACACTCGATTTTTAATGTAGTTTGTCAGACTATACAAACATGATCCCTATGTCACACTGTAAGATCTCAGCTGTCATAACATCAAACTGTTAAGATCTGAGAGTCAAGAAGGGTCAGAAACAACTGCTGAAGACTTGTCAGAAAATCAAAGTCAATAAAAGTCACAAAAAATATACCAGAATTTTAAACTAAACTCAACTAAAACACCTTCTGGAACAGATTTTATGTCAAAAGACGTATATAGAGCCTTCCAGGAAGATTGTTAGTTTTTGAACAGAGCAACAGTGTTTAGCTTTAAACATGTCTTGTGTATATTGACAATTTGATGCTGCTGTTCTCTTCAGAGCTTGATACTTGACACTTATTTTATTATTTTTTTCTTACAGTACAATTCAATTATTCTGCCTCCTGAAGCAATTCTTATGCTGATCCTGCAGTATTTAAACCTTTAACGATTTAGTTACCCGAACTGAAATTTTTAGGCCCTGTTTAGACATGGTAACAAGTGTCTATCCAATGACAAGTGAACAAAACTTTTAAAGTCCAAAACAGATTTGATCAGATGCCTTAGTGTGGTCAAAATGCATTCAAACAGCCATAAAATACCATCTACTCTCCGTCAGCTAATTCTTAAATATTACAAGATTAGCATGCAAGTCAGATTAATGAGTATGTTTGCTTTGATGATGAAAAAATTTAAAAAGCAAAATGGTAAAACCCCTTATATAAACGAGTATTTAGTGACCTGAAATACCCCCTCTGCCACAAAGGGCAGAAGTTCAACACTAAATAAACCCACCAGGGACCGTCCTCACCCAAACCCAAAGCTTTAAATAAGCTTGTTATCACTGCCTGCTGATCTTGAGCAGGATGATTCCTTCAGCTCTTCAGAGGAGTGTTTACTCATGCTCACAGGAGAGGCATTCAGCTAGAGCTGGCACAGATCTGCCTCTCAGCACCCTCCACATTTTTTTTTTAGCTAGGAGTTTTTTTATTCTTCCCTTCTTTTGCTATATAAAAGTCTTAATCTTCAAATGATCTTTCAAAGGTTTGTGCCCCTGGTCTGGTCGGAGTGCAGCCTTACCCTGGTGGTGGTGGCAAACATGTATTTGTCACGTAGCTGGAAACTGTCCACTTTCTCCAGGATAATGCGTCGGTTTTGCTCGCTCTGGAAGAAGTCTGTGCTGGTGAGGATGCTGGAGTCTCCCTGGGGCTCGTGGCGCTGGACAAACACTGTGGTGGGGTTGTCGTACGGCTCTACACCCCTAGGGGGACAGAAAGACACATTTGTGAGAAGTAATAAATAATGTTGATAATTTTAAATATTTAGGTGTGTAACTATTGACTCTAATTTAAATACAAAACCCATTAAGAATGTTTCCAAAGGTGCTAAAGCAAGCCAGAGGATTTATAGAAGCATCAGGCATCAGTTACGGCTGCTGCTAAACTTTTTATGAACACAATGATGTTCCCTCATTTATCTTGTTGCGCTACAAGCTGGTCCAACACAAACATCACAACATTAAAACCAATGTATATCATCTATAAATAAGCTGTAAAAACTTTAGCTAAAAAGCCAAGGAGTTATCACTACTGTAACTATATTGAACAACTCAACTTACTAACATTCAACAGTTTTTTTATTTTAAGCTGATGTGTGTTTAATGTACAAAATATTTAATGATCTTGCACCACTACCTCTTAAACAATGTGTGATTGTCTGCAAGGACAATATAAGACAGACTAGGCCATCGGTTAAAGGTGATTGTTCAGTTAAATCCAAGAGTACTGTTTTTGGACAATCATTTTCAGTCAGAGCAGCAGTAAGATGGAATAAAATACCAGTCCATATTGGAAAGAGTGCCACTTTTAACAATTTAAAAACTGTCCTCAAAGTTTGGCATAAAAAAAATCAAATTAGCAGCCACTGATTTGATTTCATTTGATTGACTATGATTTATTGTATGTATTATACTGTGCGTGTATAATGTACTATTGTTTTTTTTTTAAATTATTAAACTTGTTACAACTTCCTGCCCAGGGACTACAGATGTAAATTAGCTTTATAGGTAACTCTGCACAACATTTCATGTTGTATATTCTCTCTGTATAAAAAAATTTAATAAATAAATAAAATGAAATATAAGTTTTTGAGTGTGGTTTTCAGAAAACAACCACTGCCATCTTTATGTGTTACTAATAAACACTCCACCTCTGTTCTAAATGCTTGTGGTGAATAATTGCTATTTGGAGGTAAATGATTACACTATTTTCCATAATCTACACACAACATGACATTGTGACACATGGTAAGAATAGGAAATGTTTCTATTTCTGCGACTTTGTGGTTGAACAACAGCATAAACATCTATGACAATAAACACCACAGGTTAGAGATGCGTTATTAATCGAAATCCAATCGTGATTTGAAACGTTGCGATTAGCTAATCGCAAGAGACTGCAATATATATATATATATATATATATATATATCGAAGTGTGTGTGTGTGTGTGTGTGTGTGTGTGTGTGTGTGTGTGTATTATATAATTTCCCCCCAACCAGAGCAAATGGGTGACTGCAGTCTGTGTGTGTGAGTCTTACTAGCCAACTGAGCGAGCTCACTTTTGTTCTGCCCAATAATAAAAACAAAAAAACAAACAAACAAACAAATAAAACAGACAGGAAAGCGCAGACAAAAAAAAGTGCCTAAAAGTCAACTGAAAGCATTGCCAGTGACAATCAATCTAGTAGCAAACAATGGCAAAGTACAATTCAGAGTTGTTTGCAGCTGTTACGCCATATGAAAAAAACATCATGAAGGCATCAGGAGATAACTAACGCCATAACTCACCACCGTTTGTTCTAGATAAAAAGTAGTGGTTAATTTCTAAATGTTTAAAAACAAATTTGATATAATGTTGGAGTAAGTTAATATAGTTTTGGTTCCTTTTTTTACTATTCAGAATATTGAAATGAAGCTTGACTACAAAATAAAATTGCAAATCACATAAAAATCTGTTTCCATTTAAAAAATACCCTAAAATAAATTAATTAAATAAAATAAACAAATAAATAAATAAACAAACAAAATCGCAATTACATATTTTTCCTAAATTGCACAGCCCTACCTCAGGTGCTTATTATGTGTTTTATTTATTGTTAAATGCTACCAATGTGCGTTTGAATTACATTTTGCGTCACATTTATAGCCATACTAAAAAGCTTCAACAGATTGTTTGACTATAAATGAACAGTTTAAACACAAATGTTATAATTGTGACTAACAAACATAAACCAACATCAGTCACTCAGCTTGTACCTTTAATAATTTTAATGAGCTTTAACATTAATGAATAATATTATAAACCTGTCCATTTCCTTGGGAGCACAGAAGAACATTCTGCACTTCTGAATGTCTGTATTTAAATGTCGAATCTGGTGCAGACGACCAGATTGTAAAGCAAAACTTGCACAAAGCATGCACACATTTGCCAAACATTAAAGGAAACACTGGGTTTTGACACATTTTATTCAAAATGCCCTTATAGAATTGCTTTCTCTGATTTAATATATAGTACATGTACTATATTTGGGACATTTTTTAAAAGTAGAAATTGTTATAAATGCTGAAAAAGTGGGATAGTTTTCCTACACATATATTTCATACACTGGCTTGTTTGGAGCGGGACTTGTGGAGCTGCTCTTAAGGGTTTGAACTGTCAGCAGTGAAATTTAAACCACCCTGATCTGAACTTCAACTTTGAAATCTGGACTTTACTAGAACTATGTTAAGCTGCTGAAAAATCTGCATTGTAAAAGGAGATATATAAATAAACATGAATTGAATTGAATATAAGCAGCACAACACTTTTAGACATTAATAACAATTAAAAAATGACATATTATGATTATTTCCGAATAATAGTGTGACTGAAGTAATGTTACTGAAAAATTGACCCAACCAAACAGAAATAAGCAGTTTTAAAATGTATTCAAACAGATTTAAATCTAGTAATTACCGTTTTACCATACTTTTGATCAAATAAATGCAGTTTATGTGAGAATAACACTTCTATAAATATCTGCAATCCCATTGGTTGATCCCAAATGCAGTCAAACAATAGCTTAATGAAGTTGAGACATTTTTAAAGCTCGGTTGGTAAAAAAAATAACTGCAGCAATAAACTTTTTTGGATTGCATTTCCTAATGACACGCAATGTGCAACACTGCAAAAACGGCACACTGCCTCTACAGCATGATCAATAGTTACTTTCGCTTCCCGAGTCAATCCAGGCAACTTTACACATCACACTTACACTGAAGCAAAGAGGCAAACAAATTTCCTCCCGCATGATGTTACTGGTAAATTATTCAGGGTGCGTGTGGGAGATCAAGACTACAGACAGGCAGTAAAAGACAGCAATTTCTCTCTCTCTCCAAACTGGACCATCGGATTGACTCACATCCTCAGTAAACACACAGTGCTGCTGCTTGTTGAGACTGGCTCTTAAATGGGCAAGCTGGAGGATAAAGGGATTATTTTGCAGGGGAACAAACACACAAACCTCACCGTTTGCTTTCTATTTCACAATTGGGAGTTTAACATGTCCAGCGGCGGGTGAGAGATGGATGAAAGAAGGCTTACAGCTCTTTTAAGCAGCCCTGCCGCTAAGCCTTTGGGTTTGTCTAGATTAAAACCGAAAACCAATTGACGGTTTGGAGAACACAGTCAGAAAACTACACAACTCACACCCAAAAAACACACAAACATACATACTAAAGGTCTGTTTGTTGATCCTTGAAACAGCAGTCAAGCTGCTTGAACAGACGTCCTAATTACTTCTGAGTGACACATTAAAAATTTAAATATTGTGTTAATACTTACACAAATACACATCCCCAACGTGTTTTATTAGTGACATAATACTATTAGAAGTATGGCTATTAAATCACACAATTTATTTAAGTGATGTTCAAATTATACAATGTTTTTTTTTAATAGGAATTCTTTATAAATTTGCACAAAACAGAAAAACAAACAGTCTACAACAACAAATCAAATACAAACAAACAAAAAAAAATAACCCTAACACTTATTTCCCCTTTGTGGCTTTAACAGAAAAGAAATATAGCTATCAGCCTGCAAACATCAAGGTGTCTTACAAACGCACAGCAAGTGTATGCATAAGGCTGGTTTAAACATCTGCGTCAAGTGATCATTTTTTCTAAACGCTACCTTAATGAACAAGTAGCCAAAACTCACTCATTCAGTGGTAGGAACTGCCGGACATGCAATATCAATCATAAGGTAAACACAAAAACAAGTTTCCATTTAGAGCTACTAAAGAAACTATGAGTTTGCGCGGCTCTCTGTCCCACCTGCACTGGTCACAGCAACCAAACTGGCCAATTACAGAGCTTGCACTACACATCGTTAAGATGTGTAGTAAAAGTTTTTGAGAGGTGCGCATCAGCATCAGCCACAGCGAGGGCTATGCGACCACGCGAAGGCTTCACGGAAGCATATGTGTGCACTTGATGCAGAAGTATAAATCAGCCTATAGGGAGCATACACAATACCATTACAGAAGTAAAAAAAAAAAATTTAAGAAAACAAAAAAAAAATGTATAAAGAAAAATACAAAAAGCTATATGATATACATAAAAAGCGAACCATTCAATGTATAATGGCAGGAATGTTCTGTATTTCTTTCTTACAAGCATGCCAATTGTGGTTAAAGACTGGTTTTTGCTTCTGTAACGAGCGATCGCTGTGACCCGCGGCACCTGCCTTGCACGTAGACATGCGTTTATACTTATGAGTGCTGTTTGTGTTGCTCTGCAATAACACTTCTGAAACACTAGTTGTCAGTAGGTTATGTTTTTCAGTGTTGCGTTTCTTCGCTGGTGTTTTGTTTTTTCTAAACGCTACTTTAATGTACAAGTAGCTAAAACTCGCTCATTCTGAGGCCGGAAACGGCGGACATGCAACAACTTTAATCACAAAGTGAACACAAAACATCTGGAGCTCCTTTATGGGACTCAACACTTGTAAACGCGCTCCATCAGGCTCACGGCTCTCAACACAGCAACCAACCCGACCAATCACAGAGCTTGTGCTACACGTTGTTGCGATGTGTAGTTACAATTTTTGAGAAGTGCACCTCAGAGTCAGCCACAGCGAGTGCTATGCGACGTTTGTGATTGATGCAGAAGTATAAATCAGCATAATGTGAAGGTATTAAGGTATTACATAAATTAAA